CCAGCTGTTCATTGTGGAAATATCAGAGCATAGTCATTTGTGAAGAGATATCCCACCTTCTGTTCTGCCAGCTGACAGGGGCACCTGTCTGCTCCCCAGCTGTTTTCCTAAAAAAATAATGGGATTTGGCACAACCCACCACCCACAGCTGTCTAAAGGCTGTTGGCCAACCAGGGTTTCCTGAGGCCCCATCCTGGGGAGCCCAGAGCCAGCAGGCAGGGTAGGACACTGCGGGTCAGAGCCAAGGCTGGAGGGACCTCGGGAGATTGTCTGGTCCATCCAGCTGGGCAGAGATGGGCCAAACACACTGCCAGTCAGGCAAGTGGTTCAAAATCTAAGCAAGACACATTTTAGACCCAGGTTAAGTCATCCACTCTGTTGAGCAAGGGCTGTAGGGGAGGCAGGTTTGGAGCTCGCCTGGTTTGCTGAGGGGATGCCAAGACTGTCCACGCTCAGCGGCACTGCTGGAAGCTGAGGGAGAACTGAACCCCCTTTAGGAGGCCCTGAACAGGACCCAGGTGTGTCTTTTTTTTACAGTGTGTCACTGCCACATCCTTTGCTTGGTTTTGGGTTGGTTTTTTTTCCACGTTTATAAGCTCAGAAGGGTAACAGTTTCGGTGGCATCAAGTAAAGGTGTTTTGCATAAACAAGCTGCAAAAGTGGCAAGCAGCAGAATGCTCTGCACTCCTGGAGATCAGAGTGCAGGAGCAGCTCTCTGTCACCAGAATAAAGGGGGTTCAATGTCTGTGGGCACAGCACAACCTGCACTCAGCAGTGAACACGAGGTAAGTCAAGCTGCAATGTTGTCAAGCAGCTGCAGCCTGTTGGGAAGTGAAAACTACCTACATGTTCATGCCATTGTTGAGTAAACTGTCAATTTAGACACAAAATTGTTGTGGCTTTGAAAAAGACAACAATAAGTTTAGTTTTAAAAAAATTCCTTTTTAGAGAAACTAAATTTACCGTTCGGTGCATAAGGCTTGTTTGGTTTATGTTGAAGTCCAAGTGAAAAAACCCAGATGGTGGCGAGGTTTCTTTCCCCATCTGTACCTGAGGGAACAGAAGTAAAAAGATCTGCTCTGTTTTATAGATTTCTTCTAAGTACATTATAGCAAGCCTGAATTTGCTTTCAATAAAAACATAACTCCTTGCAGTTTGTTGATATCTGCAAAGGCCAGATGATGTCAATAAAAGAAATGAAATCCCAGTTTGGAGCCACAAAAAATCCGGAAAGAATCAAGTATTTTTCCTAAATACAAGGTTTGTCATTTCAATGTATGCATCAAACACAACTCTTGAACTCACAGGGGAAGAACTTTGAATAAAATGTTAATGTAAGTTATCGAAAAGAGCACAGTCAGGCACAGCCTGTGTGATAAGGCTCTTTCTAAGCCACCAGCAGGAGTGAAAAATTGGCAAAGGGAGTTTTGAAGCTCCCAAATACACAAATAAGTCTCGATGATGCCACATACAGGCAATACTACAAAACTGGATAAACAGGCCAGCATGGGACAGCTCACAGAAAGGGCAATAACACTGAGTAAAACATTAGGTAGCAGACAGAATTATCACTCTTGACTACCCCAGTGAATCAAGACTGTCTTCTTTTGCAACCCTTAGTTTGCATATACAGGAGGAAGGAAACTGAGAATTCCCCTGCCATTTCACCAGAAACAATAGAACCATCATTTAAAATATTCCTGGGAAACAGAAGTTTATGTCACTTGAGCCAAAAATTACCAGATTATCACTGTTGGCAGAAGTATCTCAATTTCATCACTCTATAAATGTCTAGGAGAGAAGGAACAGAATGAACTCACTGTTTCAGTAGACAGTGGAATCTGCAAACTAGACACATCACCCAGTGATTAGTGGATGAGAACAGCTTTAACATAAACACTATTTGTAAGTGAATTCAATATTACTTATTCTTTTCTAAATTATACCACTGCAAGTTTTCAGAGATAATCCTGCTTTGGCTTTTGTTTCTCAGGGGCTGAAGAATACATAGAGTGTGGGATGGTTTGTCTTAACAAATATTCTTAAGAAGTTCATGCACTTAGAGGCTTCTGACAGGAAACAGAGCGTTTGTTGCTGCTTTGCTTTTTTCTTCTCTTTCTGATAGGAGAAGATGGCACTCTGGAGATCAAAAGCAAGTGGATGAAATGAACAATGTGGCATCAGCTCATGATTTCATACCTGTCTATCTGAAACATCATACATTTATGAACACAAATTAACATTTACACTTATAAGTATTTTTCACTCAAGCAGCAAAAGGATTTCAAAAAACCCACTAACTTTGGAGGAGGAGAAAAAGCAACAAACCTTGTTGAACTGCTGAAGAGCAGGAAATGCAGCTCTAGCAGTTTTGTGGAAGATAAAACTGGTAGTATGCCATTGTCTGAGTCAGAGTTAATTTTCATCTTAGAATCATAGAATCATAGTAATCATTAAGGTTGGAAAAGATGCCTGGAATCATCCAGTTCAAGCAGCACCAGCGTGTGCACCATTAAACCATATCCAGGTACCACATTCACGTGGCTTTTGGACACTTCCAGGGATGGTGACCCTCCCAGTCAGTCCAGGTAGGCACATCCACAGCCTTTCCCTCATCCCTGGTCACAAAAGGAGATCAGGTTAGTCAAGCAGGACCTGCCTTTCACAAAGTTGTCAAGATTCTGATAATGAAATAACTATAATAAAGCCACAATTATAATACTCCAGAGATAGATGTTTATTGAGTTGCTGAAAAATAGAAGTATTCCAGCAAGTCTGTCACATTTAAATGTTAGCTAAAAAAAAACCCTACAGACGTTCCAGACATAGTCTCATTCTTTTACTTCCCCACTATAATGAAAATTATGTTAAAAGGATATAAAATCAAACCTTTAGCAATCACCTGTGAATTTCAGAAAAGTTGACAAGTTCTTATTTCTCTTATATTGCCCTTACTAACAACTACAGGCTATTGTGCTGAAGTTATGCACTGGTCAGCTCTGAAGGCAATGTGTTCTAAGCTGTGAAAACTAGGTATTTGTAGCATAATTCGCTCTTTGGCTATATAATCAGAATATAATTAGCATTAATTTTTCATTATTAACGAGGCCTAACTAATTAAAACCTCTAATAACTACATACACGCTTTCCAGACAGATTTAATCCGCTAAAGTCATTGCCACATTAGACTTTCAAACATTTTAAGAAATACTCTTGGCAGGGTTGGAACAGCCATTTGAGTGAGATTTGTAGCCAGCCAGATGACTGACTGATGTGTTTGAACACAGAATCAGAAACAGAACCCTGTGAAAAAAGAGGAGTAGCCTTTTTTTTTTTTTCCTTTCCCCCAAATCTCATGGTCTCCACAAACCTAGAGTATCAGAACAGCACCATTTGCCTGGGGCACTGCAGTTCCATCCACCCCTGGCATGCAGAGATGTTAATCGGGAAGTTAAAAGGCTACAGTGGATCGTTGCCAATGCAAACCTGCAGCTGCTGAGAGCAAGATGTGTTCTGTAATCAGGACCTGAAGGGACACTGTAAGGGCAGACACAGCACGAGAGCAGACACTGCAGGTGCCTGAGACTACAGGGGTAGATCCCAGTCAGAAGGGAAGAGTTCTATTAGCAGGAGTTCACCTTCTTTGATTCAGGAAACAGCAGCTCAGTGTGATCTGCCCACATTGCTGCAGTCAGCAAGACCTCCACAGACCTAAAAACAACTCCTGAAGAATCTCTGGGTGGTGGAAGCACCGCAGTGAAGATCATTAAGTATGTTGGGTGCCTTCAGTTCCCACAGCTGCTGGAACCACAGCAGCCTGCCAGCTACAAGCACCTTTACCAGAGCAGGTGGTGTGAACCATCTACATCGTGTTCACAGATGGAGCCTGCGATTTACCAAACTTTTAACACATCCTGACTCAGTGAAAAAAGTCCATGTCTGAGACATTTTAGCCACAGCTGATAATCAACATATAAAAGGAACGTACGAGTTTGTGGCACTCTGATCAGACCTACCAAGCTCAAATTAATAATAAAATCGCATTGTGAAGCTTCGTGACTTTTACACTTCTCTCATGTGGGAATCACAGAGGATTATTTGTTTACTCCATTTTGATTATTCAAGAGTGACCTTCCCAATGAAGATTTACAAGGACAGACATGAATCTCATGGTTCATGGAATTCAGCCCAGAACAGAGGGTTCTGAACAGGATATCATTCCCCTTTAACACTCAAAAAGCCCTTTCATAAGAGGGAAGTTTTCTTTAGAGCTGAAAACTGAACAACAGGCTCAGAACATTTCAACTACTGTGCCAAAATGTGCTTCAGCAGAAAACAAAGAGCAGCAGCTGGGTGTGTGCAGGTGAAGAACAAGGTCTCACAGGGGAAAACATCTCACAAAAAAGAGTACTTTCAAGTCTAAAAATAAAATTGTCCACATCTCTAAATAATCCAAAAGAAATTAAGGTAAAATAAACGTCATCATACAAAAATTCTCTTTTAACCTCCATTTGAATAACCCAACTTAACCACAGCTCCAAAACCTGGCAGTTCTGTTTCCCTAATCTGGATCTAGTAATTAATGACTGCAAACCACACACAGAAGATTATCTGTGCTATTGCCAGGGAACAGAAGGGAAGCAGATCACCTCTGTCAGGAGGAGTTTCCATACTGGAATAAGCTTATCATCAGCAAGACTCAAAAAACGATGTCGTTCCAAATATAAAAGCCAGAAGACTTTGGGTGGTTTTCATGTTGTGTAAGACAGGAAAGTGTGTAAATGTATAAAGACAGGGCTACAAGTGAAGGCACCTTGATCTGCACATATTGTCACCACTGTTTTCCCTGCTGGTGAAAGCCCCACACACTCCAGCTGTGGATGTGTCCCACGCCCCTGGGTGGGGGGGAAACACCCAGTCGGTGTTTCTGTAGCTTGGCAAGGAACACATTTCCTGGTCACTCATCTACCGAAATGACAACACAGACATTTGAGAGAACATACAACAAATTCTCATTATTTACTACAAATATATAAAAACCGAAGGGAAATCAAATCGAATAACTTGACTACATGGAAGTTATGAAACAGTTTGTACTTTATACACAGCGTATGTACACTGGTCTTGGAAATGGGCGGTTTATCCATGCAAATTTAATACAAAACGCTATTTACAAAAAAAAGTAAGAGTAAGAACATTTTTCAAAAGAAACATGTTATGTTGGAAGCTCCAGTAATAATGGAAATCCTGAAAAAAAAGGCTTAATACAGTATAGTACAAGTAGACAATCTTCAGAAGTGTGGGAGATGCACTTTACAAGAACATGAAATGCAAAACAAATTGAAATGCACTATCAAAAATTTTCCAAGTATATACACAATTTGAGCATCTGTTTTTAAATGATCACTCTCCAGCTGTGCCTCAGAACTTCTTCTGCCACGTCCTGCACACATTTACATATTGACCATTTGGTTACACTGCATTTTCTGAGTTTTATAACCACGAGTTACAAAGTAAAATAACTGAACACCAACTGAATGGTAATTGCAAATCAATCACATTTTCCTTGTTCTAGACATTACATAATAGTAAAAACTATTCACATTATTCCCACTGCATTCCCCCAGACCACCCTTTTGCAATACACCTGTGCATGCCCTTCCCGGGAATCCCAGCCTGGCATTACTGCTGGTGCCACAGCCAGCAGTTCCCATGGCTGCAGCAACGCTTCCTGGAACACATCCTTTCAAAAAACACAACTGGATCAACATCTGCAAGTGAAGAGCACGACCCTGCACGTGCTCCAGAACGCACATCAGCACTGAACAGCTACTGGGAGTTCCCACGGCAGGTATGGCACGACCAGACCCTACACAAATATAGTCATTTTGGAGGTATTTCACTGGTTGATTCATTTTAAAAATGAAACAAATTAAAAAAGTATCCTTGTGGCATTTCTCAGTATTTTACAATCTGCCTCCATAAAAGTTTTGGGGGGGGGAAGTTTTGTTTGCTTTATTTCACATGATTTTGGAAGAACTAAGGAAATCCTCATCAGCGCCAAGAATTCACTTTAAATGACTGACTTAATGTTGTAGCTGAGTTACAAAACTATTTTTTGAGGGAAGTTCTGATGTCACTGAAGTCTTACAATCATAGACTTGTTTGGGTTGGGAAACCTTTGAACCGATCAAGTTCAACTGCAAACTTACCACTGCCAAAATGAAAAGTTACCCAAAACAACTAAATTTGCTGCCAGTCTGAGCTATCCTTCCCCTTCAGAATTTGCTAAGATACTGCAGTAACCACAGAAAAACTTTTTGGTTTTTGCTTGTTTGAAGGTTAGGATTCTCAAATGGGTATGTAAAAAACACACTGAAAATTCTTCTTTGAAAATGTAGTCAGCTATAAAACATTTGAACTAAAAATGACTGATTGGAGGATTTTATGATAACTTGTATTCCTTCCATGGAAATTAATCAGGCACCTTAGAGCAATTCTGCCTCCCTTTGCCTCTCGTGTTAAAAAAAAATTAAAATCAAAACCAGTGAGGAAACAAATACTTCATATAACCACAATTTTAAGATGCTGTCAAATTGCACTATGTGAAATATTTAAAAGACAAATAAAGCAAGTAGGCAATTTATTATGTAAGAAACACAAGAGCCAGAGCTGCTCCTGTGCAGCTTTAAACTGGATTCAGTTAATCACATATATTCTCTATTTTAACAGTGAAGATCAGCAGAAACTTTCTTGACAGGGAGTAGTAATTTATCTTCACATTTATTTTACAAAACGAATCTGTACCTTGAAATTCTTCATTAAAAAGACACACTTCACCTTTCCCTCTGTAAATGAATGACACATCCCAGTATGCTGATACACAGAACAAACCCAGTAACACTGTTTTCATTCCCTCACGTGAGAGCACAACGTGAGTTATGTCCTTGGACATCTACACTTTGCCTTTCCCATTCCTGGTCTGAATGAACTCTTTTTTTTTTTTTTTAAATCCCAGTGTTGTGTATGTTGGGGTGGTGTCTTGTTTGCTTTTGCTTTTCAAGTAGAGATCCTCGTGAGAGAAACACACACATTAACTTTATTGAGGAAGCAGGGATATCTGATCTGCAGATACAAACCCAACCCTCCTGTCTGCAGAAGTGCTATAAACACCCTCAGCTTGCTCTTTGTTGAAATCAGTTGGATCAGCTCCCTTTCAAACAAGCATTTAAGGAACCAGCAGAAGGAAGTGCCAGACCTCCTTCCTTCTCTTCAATACCAAGACACATGGAAGTTCTCTTCTAGTGAAAACAGATGTGTTTGAATTTGGCAACACATTTATGTCAAAAATCTGAGGAACCTGCCACGAAATGACAGCTGAAATAAAGTTTTCAGTGCAATAAATAACTGATGGTTGTCCTCACCCACAATTTTATTAAGGTAACACAGTTTCCCACTGTATGAAAGCTGTGCTTCAATGCCATTTTTCCTACCATCTAAATACTCTATTTGGCATATCAGAAAATTTGTACTAAAGAAAATGCATCAGTCTAACATTTTACAGATTTGACTTACCAGACATCACTATTTTCAGTTAAGAATTTGACACTGAAGTCTGCTCTTGTCATACAAGTTTAAGCCATGTTTGCTTTCGATTCCAGCTCAGGTGTTTCATAAACAAGAAAGGTGAAAATCTTTACTGAGGTCAGGACTAAAACTTGCCTTGATTTCACTAAGGTTAGGATTAAAAAAAAAATAAGATTCTTATGACTCATAGTTATTTAGTTTCAAATTAATTCCTTCATGTTTTATGATCATAGTTCTTGATTAGATTTTGGAAGGCCTCCAGATAGGTGGGTATAGATGGTTTCCTGCATGCCCAGCAGTGCCCCAGCTGGCACTGGAGCAGCAGTGCTAGAAACGGGAAACACTTCTGACATTAAGAGTAGGAAATCACCCCCTTCACAACAATTAATGTCACTGCTTTAAGATCTCACCATATCTGGCACATTATTGCTTAAATGAAAGATCATTCACAAGTGACATACTGCATCCTACGACATAAACCAGAAAAAAGACACAGGCCAGAAGCCCTGTCACTGTGCTGACTCACTCTCTAAATTTACAGTTCATCCCACATTATTGCAGTAGCTTTGAAGAGCATTCACAATAACTAAAGCACCCTGGTTAACTCAGGAAAACTTAAGGCAGCTTCCTGAAGCTTTTAATGTTGACTCTTTTTCATGTCCTACGTAAAAACTGAGCAACTGCAACAGGAACTGAGCAGGCCCCTGGTTTTAAGAATCCCATCAGCTGTAGCAGCTGGGGGATGGCATCACATCCTGAACAAAACAGAAGGGTATCTCAAACACTGTACATGTTTGGAGCAGGGATTCTGGAACCACAGCAGTTCACCAGTGCCACTGGTGAACATAAAGAAGAGGGAGGAAAGTGGCTGGCATGCTACATCAAGAGAATTCCTAACATTTACACTGTGCTGTAACTTTATAAAATTAGTTCAGGAAAGAAAAAAAGCTACTTTAAGATCAGAAAACTTATTTAAATATGACAATGACAATTTATAGTTCTCAACTCTATGGCTCACACTGAACTAGAACTTTGCTCTGGTATCAGCAACAACAATGAAATGAAAGACAGGAACTTATTGGTTTTGAATGGCTGGATCCTTCAAATGTAGCAGGCAAGTATTTTGCTTAGTGACTTATACTACTTTTTAGTTTTATTTCTTGCATGACTTATTAGATACTGACTTTAATGAAATTAGAGACTAAAGTTGTTAAAATGAATATTAAGGAATGATTCAAAAACCAGTTAAGAGAGATTTGAAATACCATATTTCAAAGGTCAGGGCAATCCAGTTTCCTTAAACACAAATTTATCTAGGCTAGGATTTATATCTAGGGCTTTGCAAATTGAGTTATATACCAGCCTCTCCATAAGCTGTATTTTAAGAAAACCCTATATAAACAATAGTAGGGTTTAACTATTACACATACACCAGTTTGTTTTAATGGGTTTAAAAATAAGTTTTGGTTTTTTTTTTTTAAACTTTTCATGAGAAAAAGGATTTTTCCTGTCAGCTATTGACTTTAGGGACTACAGTAGAAGGAGTACACAATACTCCTCCATCATTCTTTTATGAATTATATTACAATTGGAAAGAACAGAACAGAATCAAATCTTGTTACGTGCTAGGCAAACACATCCCTCAATCAAAAATAATCGAATATATAATTGAAAATAGAAAATAATAATCGAGATAGAATATAACAATCGAAAATAGAAAATCTGTGACAGTCGAAACATTGTTTTTAATTGAGCTACCTATTAATGAAGAACAAACTAACAGAAACAGATTTCCTATGAAATGTACGGAATTCTTTGCAATTTGTTTAGAGAAGAACTCAACTGTGTATGGTTTCAGAGTGTTCTCAAAACACCACGGATTTGTGCAGAAGCAAACAAACACAAACTCAGAAGTTGCGAAAAACCACCACAGTGGAAACTTTCCCTTTCCACATTTATGCAGAAAAATCTCCTGTCTCAGCACAGTGACGTTTCTACAAACTGAGCAGAGTGCTGTGCCACACTCGTGTAGAAACCCCACGAACACCAAAGAGAAACACCGATACTTCCCAACTCAGTTATGGATATACCTGTTGTAAAAATGTAATGTGAGATCAGGAGCAACATGACGCAAAATCCTGAACATCACAGCGTAAACCTGAGATTTTGGCAGTTTTATCAAAATTGTCCTAAATTACTCTGTATGAATCACTAGTCCTCATGTCTTACTCGTTGTATTTGTTTGTCCCAAACAAAGAAAAGCAGACAGCTTTTTTTTTGTCCAACAATACATTAAACCAAAAGTGATTAGGTATTATCAAATTAAATATCATAAATAAAAAGTATTTACAGTATTTTCTAATTATTAGACAACAAATAACCAATTAAATTGTGCAACAAACTTAAAACACCCAACATCAAAAATGTGAAGTATTACTTAAACCTTCACATAGTGATTTTACAAAAAAACTATTAAAATATTAAAAAATTTCCATCGTATATCTATTTTAAACAAAGAAATTTCAAAAATGTTTAAGACTATTAAGAATTATCAATTACACAGGCACTTCACATGTAAACAATCTACAGTACAACTTAAAAAAAAATATTTGGCACCAACCTAGAAGACTGGAAAAACTCAATAAAATGTGTCCTTTTCCCATTGTATGCTTTGTGTAATCACCATACACTCAGACTCAATACTGGCAATGTTAGAAGTGCGTAAAAGTTACAATCAGGAGTGCAAAAAAAAATAAAGAACGCAAATATTAAGCTTTCAGAGAGTGAAAGGGGATTACAAGTGATCAGTTGCTCATCTTTACCATCACACCATGGCTACATTTTTGTCTTACCTTTAAAATAAAATGATTGACTTGAGAGATTAAAGTGACAGGGGGTGTGCTTTGTACTTCTCAAATAACTCAAACATTTTCCATGTAAAAAAAGAAATCCAGCATTTAACTGTAACACTGAGATGTTAAATGGCAGCTTTTAACTTAACTAGAAAGAGAACCTGATGCTACCACAATCTCTTTGTACATCCAATTACGAAAGAACGAAAGATTAATTATGGTCTTTCAACTGTGAACTGACTCCAAGGTTTTCACACACAGCTCCAGAGTAAGGCTCTCTACAGCATCTGGACAGATGTTAGTTTTTGATGGCTTGGGTGTTCCCATGTAGGAGGCTGAAGTGCCTCAGAGCAATCCATATCAACAGAGCAAACGGGAAGTTGTTGAGCTTCCAAGAAGTCACGTCACACGGAGGAAAGCTGAGACACTTTCAACGCTGGCAATTCAAGCAGAGCTTGAACTGTGAGGCCAACCTTCACCAGACCCCTCTCCTCCAGGATGTGATGAGGCAGGCAAAGTCTCTCCTGCAAAATAACACACTACATTTAACAAGTCACATCCATTTTTGCCCAGGGTTGTAGCAAACACATTGTCTCTGAAGTCACACATCGCTAAGAGGAAAAACATCTTTGGCCTTAAATTTCGTATGTGGCTCCCTACAGTGACAGAATGAGCAGAACCTTGTTAGAGTTGAGATCTGTGGAAAGTGTTAAACTAGGAAAGCCTCAGAAGATACATAAAAGATTCAAAAAGTCAAAAGCTGTTTCTTTTCATAAGCAGCTCAATAAACACCAGCTGATGGGTGCTGGTGGCTCAGTGGCTTTCTTCCCCCTTCCCTTCTTCTGTAGACTTAATATAACTTTTTCCCTTGGGAAAACCAGGAAGTGTTGGTAGAGTCAATAATGATCCATTCTCCAAGAAAGTCATCTTTCAGTTTCAAAATTCAGCATAAGCTGGTTAATTTTCCCAACTGCCAGCTGGTGCTACAAGTAATTTGGGGGGTAAATCTCAGAATCTCTGACTTCTGAAGGGCCTGTGACTCCATACTAGACAGAAGCTGTGGCAGAGCAGCAGCCCAGGCTTCTAAATCCATGAAGTAATTTTCTTGTTGCACTAACAGGGAATCAAGGGAGTTTTTTGTCTCATGATATGCAGAAAACGGTTGACTCAATTTTTTTCCCCTCATACAAGGAGGTAAGAGGATAAGTTTGGGCAACATAAACACAAGTAATGGACTGCAACTATGGCTGTGCTAAAAAAGACAGCTAGTCAGTCAGGCTACAGACTTCTGTAAATGCTGGATATTTCCCGAAATTCATGCAAAGTGAGTTGTTAAACTCAAGACTTCCAAAATTAAAACTACACCCTCTCACATCAGTTGTTTTGTTAAGGTAACAATTTATTTTACAAGGAGATCAGTAGTATTTTTACTGTGAGGAACTACTCCCAGAGCCCCCAACTTGAGCATTAGCTGACATTTTCTGCGGTTATTCATAAGTCAATAAAGCAATCAGTGTACCTGTGGAACGCCCAGTTTTTTACAAGCATCAAGGAAGTTTTCAACATTTCTTCGGCACTTTGCCATGCTGAGTTTAGGCTGTAAAGACAGGATGTTAGATCTTCATCAGACATTTGTGAAGGACTGTATATTTCTGATGTAAATTCACTTACAGTTGCTCAAAAACATTCTGTGAAGACTCAGTATGTAAAAATAGCTCTTAAACTAAACATCTGAGCCTTGTTTAATGCTCGTTCCAGAAAAACCGAAGAGGGGAGTTTAGCAAATTAATAATGGTAAACATGATTCATGATGTTTTAGTATTGAAATTCAAAAACTTGCTCTCATGCAAGATGTAAGAGAAGTGAGATAAATGACCTACCACTGCTGGCGATGGGACGTGAATGCTGGCAACAGATCGTGGCCTTATGTGATTGGCTAAATGGCAAAGAACCACCCCATCCATCAACGCTGCTCCAATGTCATCTGGCAAAATCACCTTCAACCTTGACTCAAGATTCTATAAAAAAGGCCATAACTGAGTTACTTTCAGCATTAGCTAATTTTTAATTTTAAACCCGGGGTATTTTAAAGAAGTTTAAAAGGAACGTTTTAATACAAAAGTAAACGGAGTCAATTTACACTTTACTAAGTATAAATACACTTTTCTCCTTCTTACCCTTATGTTCCCTTTGTTTTGCTGGGTTTTTCTTATTTTGCCTTTTTTTTTTTTTTTTTTTTTAATTACACAACTGCATACATTGAGAAAAACATTCTCCCACCAATGTCCAGGATACACAGCTCTCAAACCCACAAAATGAACTCACTATCTGTAACAGGAAAGCACAGAACTTTAAGGACAGGAATGTCATACTCAGTATGTCATCACTTGTACTGATGACAGTTAAATAGTGCAGGTGGCCATGAAGTGTCCACTCTTGTGTTGCAAAATGGAGGAGGCAAAAAACGATTTTCCCCACCCCAGCAAGACTTCACTTCTCAGGAAGTGAACCAGACAAACAGAAACATCCTTCCCAGGAGTCACACTGGAGTGCTGAACTGCTATGATTCAGTTAATTATAACTGTTAAATATCTTGAGAACAGAACTACACAGAAAACTACTTATTGGAAAGCTGAAATGCAGATCCCATTCAGTGTTGTGTAACTTGTAGTGACACTCAACAAGCATCTGGCTATTAAGGAAATCATCATCATTTTTCTTCAAGTCTCAGGTCAAACAGTAGCAAACACAAGCAGACTTACTGTCTCCCTAAGAAAAGCTACAACCTCAGAAAGCCAAGATAATAAATCATTTTTTGTTTCATTTTTTAGCTAAAAAATAAATAAGTAAATTTAGTTCCTGGCTGGCATTTTGGTTGGACCCAAATTAGTACCAGTGCAGTGAAACTCCTTAGAAAGAAATACCACTGTGGTACAGAGCAACACACAGCACAAAAGGGTACCTACATTGCGAAGTTGTCTGATTTGTTCTCTTTCTTCCCTTAAATGTTCCATTTTCCTCCTCATTGTAAATCCAGGATCCACAGCACCATAGTCCTGGCGTGAGGCACGGCTGAAAGCTAAGAATTATTTGGGAAGTTAGTTATCAGAGTTCGGATTCAAAACACTCAATTACTTAAAAAAAAAAAAATCTATGACCAAGGATAAAAACTGCAGAACTTTAAAGAATATATATAAGCATCCTGATATGAAAGATAATATGAAACATCTAATTAAATGCAGAGATCATCTTAAGTGTAAATGGATAATTAGAAAATACGGAGACAGAATTGAGTTCAATATTGAAGTATAAGTTTGAGATACACAACCCCATTTGCACTTCTTCAAGCATATCTCAATCTAGCTTGGAAAGTATTTTCACTGTGTTTTACTTTTAATGAAGTATAAAGTCATTAAGGAGTCTAAAAACAGAACAAAACTCCCTGATATAATTTAAAATTAAAGACTTAAAATATATACACACACACATATGTGCATGTGTTAGGTGTGCATATGCAGAGACACAGTGATTGCTTGTTAAAGAACTAACTGAAAAATATGAAATGTCTCATCTAAAAGTTCAGAGTTTTTTCTTTAAAAAGAAGGTCTGTTAAATAATAACATTCACTTTACTACCCTTGGTGGTCAGAAAGCCTTCAAATGACTATTATTTTATAGGACACTGACAAATACAAACTCTTCTGCTGTAGCACTTCTGTATCCTTAGGTAGTTTATGCCATGCTTTTGAGGAAAAAAAAAAATCAAAACTTACACCTTGAGAACTTTCTATGTTGTTTTTAATAGTTTGGATTTTAGTAAGAGATCTAAGAATCAAAAATACAAACTGTACAAACTGTGACTGGGGAGCAAAAATTGTAGTATTTCTACCTAGATTTCAGAGGACTCAAAGTCTGCTTTGGACAACACAACTTGCTTATGAGGGTATGGCTGAGTCTTGGAAGAGTCAGGGTACAACAAAGCACATAAAACTACTGCCAGAGCTCTGCTCAAGGCATCCTTTCACAGGAGAAATTATAAAAATAATCTACTTTTGAAAACTGCCTCAGCCACCAGACCTCCAGAACAATTGTATGCTGTTTCCCTGTTCTTTGACAGGGAGCAAATCTGCAGAAAATAAAGCAGTGGGAGAAAAAAAAAAAAAAAGGAGATTAAAATAATCACTGTGCAACTTGAGGATCTTCCAATTATTCATCTGCTGAAGCAGCTGTCTGTGCCTTTCCCAGTACTATGCAGTGATGAGCACACTGAGTGAATTCCTGTACTGTGACGTCTGCCATCCTTACTATCTACTGCAGCCTGGGAAATAAACTTCTGTTCTACCACACTGTGTTGGAGAACAACAGCTTACCTGACCTTGGTTTGAGACCAAATGGACCATGAGTGTTACTATCTGTCCTTTCATAATCCTGTTAAAAGAGATAAAGTCAATTTTCATCCATTCATTAAAAGAATTAACTTTTGTTCCCATGAAGATACTGTTTAAATTATTCTTCCCTAAGGAGAGTCTTCCTGCTTAACTGTAAAACAGTTTTTTGGAGGGGACAGTATAAACAGAATCAAAGTAACTACCCTACATGCAGATAAAATCCTCACTGTGAGGAGGAAAAGCAGCACCAACTACCTAAAATGACTGCAAATTATTTCAAATTACTGCAAACCATTCTGTGGACAGAGTTCTAAGCCAGCTGTAAGCAGATCCAAATATTCTTCCAATGCTTAGCACCAAAACATTTCTCAAGAAATATCTACTTCCAACTATGAGGATCAGGTTTTTCTCATTTCACCAGCTAAAGAGAGAGATCCACTCAACATTTTGGTATGTACATGAGATATCCTTATTTCAACTCATTTCCCTGTTATTTGGAGATGTTCTAATTCTGCTCCCTCAGGCTCCTTTACTGACATGAGGTGGAAATGGTGACAATATTTGCTTTATTTTGAGCTCAGCAGTGCAGTGCTGTCCCAGGGAGACTCCATGGACAGCAACTCCTTGAGAAGTGTCAGTGCCTTTGGGCTCCCAGTGATACATAAAATATTAAACCACAAGTTTTATTTTAAATCCTCTCAATGACTAGTTGCATAGGGAACACCTAAAAAACATGGCAAACTTGGTTTTTGTTTCATTAACTATTTTCATTAGCACCTTCCCTCACACTGAAAAGAAGAGCCCGAGGAGAGATCAGAGAGTTGCAAAGATAAAACAAGTTGCAATATCTGCCTCTAGTTTATCTATTTTTGAATTTTTATTATGATGAAATACTTCTAACTGTAGTTTCAAAGGGAAGAGCTTTACATCTGCATGAAAAACCTGGTGACAGCAATGCACACAAAGAAATGTTTGTTGAATGAAAAACAAAACCACAAACTTGTACCTCAGACGACACAGGAGACTGTGGGGACACATTAGTATTATCACTGTCTTGCTAAAAAGAAATCAAAGAGATGAAATTATAAAAATGAGAACGATGATTTAACAGGAAACACGAAATTATGAAATACATGAGACATGTAACATCTGCCAAGTATGCTACAAACTGGTAGCAACTAAATTTTAAAACATGTCAGCCAAGGAAACACTGTTTACATCAAATATTTTTACATTACCTCTGCTTGATAGGTGAACTAACTTTGCTATTACCAAAGCAGGTAAATGTCCTACTGTTTCCCAGGAGACAACCTTGAGGTTTTTTTTTTAAATAAAGGAGTATAACACTTATTTTCGCTATGGCTTTGGAATGAAAAGTTAAATTGCTCAAAAAAGACAAGTGAGGAAATCTTTTCTTAAATCTTTCACACAATTACTACAGCTCACCTCATCATTTTCATTTCCACTTGAACTCTTTCTGGAAGACTTATACTGAAAAACACACATAATTTATTACTTTAAAATGGAAGTATGGTTTTCATTTGAGCTAAATTGGTATCAGTCAGATGTTACTTATGAAGCTGCTGAGAAAGAAAAAAAAAAAAGCCACGTTACACAATTAGAGGAGCAACAAAGAAACCAACCAGAAAAGGAACCAACCAGGAAATGAAGTTCCTAGGCTAAATAAGATCTTCATTATGCTGAAGAGATAAGAGCATTTTAAAAGTAAATACTTTTATAATGTGAACTCTGCATCTGACAGTTGATCCAAGTGAAAAGGTCTTAACTACTGCTAATGTTGTTAAGAAGCATTAATTCTTAGAAACAATTATGCAACCTATTAAAGTTACTTTCATAATATGTTTTGTTAAAATTGGCTTTAAGACTGCTTACACTTTGAGACTGAGTTGACATGGTAAAAAATTAAATTAAAAATAAAATTATCTTTACAACTTCAAAACTGATCATGGTCTTTTATCTATTTAAGACAATATCCCACAGGTCTGTCTGATTTGTTGTGCCCAGCCTTCATCACTGTCCCACTTCCCTACTTTATGCTAAAAATGTAGGAAATGAAGGAGGGATTGAAGGAAGAGATTTACAAAAGCAGAATTTAAGAAAATAAGTGTATTTCATTGTCCACAGAGCAAGTGTACAAAAAAGAGGGGAAAACTCATGCAGATAGAATTAAAAAAAGATCATCACACCAAAACTCTAACTGTGTTGAGAGTATATGCCCAGCTTAGCCCTCTTCATGGTTTAACATGGAGCGAGGATCCAAACCAACTACAAAATATTCCAGAAAAACCAGGCATTTGGGTTAATAAAATTTGTCTTCAATCATGGGATTCTTTTTACGTATTTAATAAAATAAAGATTTCAGGGTCCACGTTTACTTCAGTGCAATGCCACAAAGCAAGGATTTCTGATTCTCACGGGCATTTTTCATGCCCTCCTACTGCACAGTAAAGACACATAATATGTATAATAAAATGCCCTATAAATTCATCTAGATGCTGATCCAACTTAGTTTTCCTTGCTCTGGTGACACCCCTTGCAGTAATTTGGCATGTATTCTTCAGATCTTAGTGTCTGGCAGTACAGATGTGATTATTTGCCATGAAAACATGGACACAATATGAACTGTGTTGTCTCTGGTTCCTCAGAACAGCAGTGGTACCTATTTTTTTCCCAAACTCTGTTTCACTTGCTCATTGCCTTGCTTTTGCAAATGAAACTATGAGTGATACAGTGTATTTTGTTACTGGTACAGCCTGTTTAATTCACTTTTGAGACATGTCTATAGCTGTGTGTAATGTGATTTCAGGCATCTGCTCCCTTCACAGAGCTCAAAACTGTCTGGCATTTAAAGACATCCTTGTAAGTTAAGAGGAAGCACTTCTGTATTGGTAGCACAGCTGCTGAACAACTCAAATAACTGAATTCTGTTTCACTTAGAAATTTCTCTCCCTCTCCTTAAAGGCTCTAGTGCAAAATTAATTTCAGGATGAAAACCCTGGAAAGAGGATACAGCTTCACAAACTCTTTAGAAAAAAAAAAAAAAATAAAGAAAAGGCTTCTGTAATCACAACAATGTATCTGAGCTGTATGGCAGGCTCTGTTCTCCCAAGAATTTAATTTCTTTGAAGTTCCCTGGCATTTCACAAAGATATCTGATGGCAAAGACCCAAGAAACTAATTTCATAAGTGGCAAATTTAATTTTAACTCAACCTAGCACTGCTCAGAACTCTCCTATTTCTCTACATACCCCAAAATAAATGTTACCCAACGCTGCTACAACTTCCCCTCAGTGCTGCAGTGAGCAGACACTGGCACCTGCTGACCGAGGGGGGAAACTACAGCAGCAAAGGAGTACAGAGAAAATTCCCCTTCTGAAATTCAAACTAATGTGTATTTTCTTTGCACTAAAAATAGATAAATAAATAGATAAATAGAAATCCCTTCAAATAGGCGGTGAAGGACCAATGACAAGATTAGTTTCTGGTTTTACCAGAAGGCAACTGTGAATTAGTTCCTTTTATTTAAAGGACAAACAATTTCTTTGGTCAATTTTTTCTCCCTCTTGATTTTCCTGCACTCTCAATACATAAAATCCAAAGAGTCAAATAAATAATTACATATGACATGCAAATTTAAAAGCATCATAACCTTAGAGGATTTATCTTTACTTAGATATCTTTACCAGTTTCTCCTACTCTTAGAAAAACGTGTCACCCACCCTCACTCCCCCCATTACCTTGAAATATTCTTTTCTAATTTGTTTACTTCTCCTTCTTTCTTCATTCTGCCAGATCACTGGCTGTGTTTCTGGCCAATGCTGCTCATCCACTGAATCCTTCTGGTTTTCCAGTGGCTATAATGGTCAGAAATATTTTTATGATAAAGGTAAATATACCTCTCGTGCATTAGCACAAATGGTTATCAACTACAACTATTAATTTGTTTGCCTCTCTCAATACAACTTTATGACCTGAACATGTGCCCAGTCTTCACGGTGGCTCTGGCAGAAATGACTTATTTCCTTTCAAATTTCAAAATATACTTCATGGAAGAAAAAGACTTTATGAAATAATTCCTCAGAAAATAACCCTCTTTCCTGCACTGATATTCATTTTTGCAGGTAGGTTAGGAAGCCGCCTATGGCTGCCAAAAATAAAGAAGTTTCAAGTGTGGTTAGCCACCAGCACACCTAACTTCTCAATGGGAATGCTCACTGCACAGAAAAAGGACAGCTACACCACAGTTTGAATATCTGTCAGCTGTTCCTACCTAAAACATTATACACCTCACCAAGCTGTAAAAAAAAAAAAAATAAATAAATCTCTCTTTCAAAGTACTGTGTTATGCAAATATACTGAGGAGACAGCTAAAGTAGATGGATTATTAAAATAATAATGAATATATATATGACTGTCTACTTTATGAGAACTGAAAGACAATCTGAGCAGACCATTTCATAAGGCTAAAACAACATTTCCAACTGTTTCTTATTGGAATATGAAGGGGTTTAAAGCCATTGTAAATAATTGATTAAAACCTAAAATAATAAAAAAGTACTCTCTCCAGTTTAACTGGAATTTTACTGTATCATGCAAGTTTCTCACTGAGGTATGGAGAATGAAAGGCCTACATAATTCAATCCATTTAGAATTTACATTAAAAACCAAACTGAGCATTATGGTGAGGCCATACACGTATATGGAAAGAAATCCTAAAACCAAGCAGAACTTAAGTCTCATTAGTTTCAAGACCTTAAAGCTGGTACCATATACTATTGAAACAAAAGGCCTCCATTGCATACAAGTTTTATATTTTCCACCATAATTAAACACTTCAATAACTATGTGTATAAGCAACCACACGAATGCATGCAAGTTTTCTGTCATAAAGACCAAACCAGCAACAACAAAAAAGCACTCAAATATAAAGCCACCACATTTCCATTGGAGTGCTTACCTGCCAGCTGTACGGGGACACTGGGGAATTCACTTCATTTGTTGAGACACTAAAAAGTAAGATGGGAGGCATTATGAAATGTACTGTTTTTTAAAACCACATTAAGTTATCAAAGAAAAAGTGAACACTTAAAAAGTAGCTTCAAAATGTGGCTTAACAGCATGACCACTTGCCTAGAATCTCACTCTCCTTTACCATGAGTCGACAATAGGCCTTACACACTACAGCACTTTAATTCCCATTAAGGTGCTTAAGGATGTTGATCTTTTAGAGATTTACTAATGCACCTTCATTGTTTTGTTTCTTAAAGCAACCAGTGACAAACTTTCTTCAAAGCTGACAAGAGATCTAGTCTTAAATGTGTGGAAGGTTCATATGTTTCATTTCAGTGTTAGCTCTACACAACAATATACTAATAAAGCAGGGAAAAGCATTTCAAAATGGGGCAGTGAAACTGCACAGTGTCAAAAAAATAGGAGTCTGAAACACACACTTCCTTGTTCTCAGGAAAATAAAAATGCTTACATTTACAGCTATTTCAAACTTTTCTTCTAAATTTTTCTGTGAAATTCACTTCTATCATTTTACCAAGCAACCATTTCATTCCCCCTCCAACTGCTGGCTTTGAAGCTGGGCAGTGTTTGGAAAGGCAAATGGCTGGGGATTGAATCCAGAATGCAAGGAGGGCAGAACACCGGGAGCAATTATGATACACCCTCCAAATATTCTTGTAGCTTCAATTTCATTGTGAGCTAAAAACATAATGACAGAAGATGGCAGCAGCGACACAATAAACAAGAATGAAATTAATAAAATATTGAAAGCTAGGATACACTTAAGAATATCAATACCATTTTTCAGATTCCATCGGCTGCTTTGGCCTGTTCCTTGTGTTTACCGAAACTGAATGATTAAGAAGCCTAGAAAGAAAAAAAATACGTATTTAAAACTTTTTTCTTAGAATATGTTACTTTCACTGCATAACATTTCCTGTAAGTAAAAAGCTTTCAGCATTAAGTGATTATCTTCCATAAAACTAAGATATGTGTACACATATGAAATCCAAGCCCATTCCTGCTTCCATTTGAATTAGCAATATTGTTTCTAACTCTTGAACTATTTCAAGTTCTATATTTTAAGGAAGCAAAACTTGGTAATTCAAACCAAAATGAAGTTTCCTCTTATTTTTCTCCATAAATACAGACTATTTCAACAGATCTCACACCTATGTACAGTTATGCTGCCCTCAACACAAAAAGCCCCACTGCTCACTAAACTAGAAGACAAAAGATAATCAATCTAAAGCAGACCAGAAAGGATACACAGATTGAGCACAAAGAAGTCAGTCAGTAGGAGCAGGTCAGAGGTGTCTTAGTGAGAAACACTGCGAGTGCAAAGGAAATGCAGGGAAAGAGGAGAGGTGGAAAATGCAGAAACACAGGCTAAGAACAAAAGAAAAGTCTAACACAGAAGTGAACCAACAGAAATTGCATTTTTCTAAATGGTAAAGAGTGAAAAAAGCCTGAATTTAGATTCAGAAATGTTTTTTCATCTGAAACAAATACATACCACAGGTCTGTGTGCACAGGAAGGTGATATGAGTTATTATGGATGTTTTAAGTGTTAAAAATAACAAAACCATCAAGTAACACTTAAAACTAAACGTTGAAAAGTAACTTGAATGAAAACTTCTGAGTTCTTGAAGGTAGTGATAGGACACTTCAACACTGACTTCATGTGCAGAACTGTGATCAAAGTACATTTAAGCCGAATTATATAGAGAACTAGAATGTAATAAGAATCAGAACACAACCAATTATACAACAGAAGAAACTAAAACAGTAAGCACCTTTTTATATTTCATTATCATTACACAGGGCAGTACAGTCATTAACTGTAAGTGATTGATGATTTTTCAATCAAACTTCTCTGATTACTTGATAACTTTGAGCTCAGTAATCTCATTTGCAGTTTAAACCTCTCATTGTGTCACCCTCAATTTAATGGGATTATGAGAAGTTAAGCCTGTAAACCAAGTCTGCTGTACTCAGTCTGCAGCATCTGCTCCATATACTTGGTCTTCAGAAACATAGTTTTGAGGGTGCATTCCAGAATTAAATTATACCATAGCCTTAGAAAACTGTTACAAAAAAGAATATTAAGAGTATCGGTCATCAAACCAGCATATAAACATGCTACTTTAAAGTCATTATCTTTTAGAGAGAATCCCTATTTAAACTAGCTTTGTGTTGTCCGAGATGCTGTAGCAAGAGACCATTAAAAATTAAAAAAAATAAATTACTCAGTTTGGTGCAAATCTTGCACCAAAACTGACACTTTAGTGTGAATGCAATGATTGTATGTAACACAGGCCAGTCCTCTTTTAAACTCATTATATGAAATGTAAGGAAAAACTATTTTATCAAATTCAAACATTTATATATACACACACACTTTTCAGCTACACTGTTTCTATGCAGTATTTATATAATTAATGACTGAGTTTATTATGAACTGAGCTTATTACGAACATGTTGATGGAGCATGCCAGGTGGTGATTACCATTTTTAAGACACAGCCTTCGTAATGGGAGAACTGTTTTGCTATCTTAGCAAAAGCTGACTTGGAAAACTTGTTGCCTGTATAAAGCATCAGAGCTCTTGATCTCTCACCCCTGACATTCCACACCCGTTGCCTGGTGAGGGCAAGGAAACTTCTCCAGCATTTCCCTTAAACAGTATTCCATCCTAAAGAACAAAAAACTTATTGCAAGCTATTTTGGATAACAAACCCTCAGGGTAACTCAACCAATCCCTTCACTCTGTTTTTCTTTTAGAAATGGCTGAGACTGGCCCTTTTTGTGCCCGTTTTCCCTCTGGCAATCTGAGGCTCTACAAACGCTTTATACCTGGATGCACGTCCTGCCGCCCTTGTCCTCTGGAAGAGTTTCTCACTGAATGAGGTCCTATAGCTTAAAGGCCTCCGTCTGCATTCCCATTTCACGCACCCCAAAGCCACAGATGCAAGGAGGAAGCAGGACAGGTTGATGGGAGAGGACAGGGCAGTCATTAGCACAGCAAGCAAAAAGAAAGGAGACCGCATAATATCACAAAAGCACACACTGAACGAACAGGAACGGCATTAGTAAGGGATTATTTTGCGATGCTTAACTTTTCTGAGGATTCTGTTTACTGATTGAATACATTTTCCACAAATAAACACAGAAAAATCTTCACTAAACACTAAATATTATTCTTACTGCTGTTTAAAAAACATGGATTCAAAACCAGGGCTAAAACACTAGGGTGATTTTGTCCCCATGTACTTCAAGACACTTAAGCAAATTTTAAAATATAAATGCTAAATTAAGAAGTAAACCAAGAACAAATAAGACTGCATACATCTGCATGATTCAAGACAAAGAACCATTAGCAACATCACTGCATTAAGACACAACAACACAGGACAAGTAAAATTTAAGTTGCAGTATGTCAGAAGAGGAGTGGCTTGGTATTTCAAATGATTAGTTAACCAGGAAATACTTAATCAAACATAAATAACCCTCACATAAAAACCCCAAGATAAGAAAAACATGCTCATTCTCTCCTTAGTAATAAATTAATATAAGAAAATTCAGCATTCTTGGTCTTACTTTTGATACTTTTGGTAAGAAGAATATATTAGCATTAAGATTTCAGTCTTGTTTTACCCTTCCTATGTGAAAAATCAAATCCTGCATGCAGGGTATGGAGTTCTTAATCTGCTGCTTGTTCTACAGCTCTTTTTCAAGAATCATTCTGTTGAGATGCCCAAGATGAAGCAGAGAAAGGCAGGTAGTTGAAATGATTAATTTTTATATGTATTTATAACACATACATACGGTCATTTGACAGATATAACGTTCAAACAAATTTCCCCTTCAGTTCATAGGGTATTTATAACCCACACCAGAACTAATGAAGGAAGTACCACCTAAATTAGCTTGTATTTGAATAAAAATAGCAAGTCACAAGCAAACTGCAGGTTCTGTAATTCATACAAACTAAGAAAGTAATTTTAACATGTTACCAATGATCTCTTTACATGAGCATTAAGCAGCCTACTGAAATCTACTGCTTTGAAGAAAACAAGCATAAAAAAAGTTAACGTATATCAAATCAGGAAATCAAGAGACTTTCCCATTCATCTTTTCCTCTCCCTAGGAGGTTTATCATTGCTTGTTTAGACAGTGATTTTATGAAAAGAAACACAGGACAGCTATCTGACAGTCAGATAAACTTTAACTGTTTAACAGCTGGACAAAACTATTCTCAAGATAAGGTGTCAAGAGCTATTGGGCAAAGAGAGGTTACAGAATAAATTACACAAGTTATTTTAACTAATCTTGCAATACCTGTGTTTTTGTTCTTGTTGCAGTAACTGAGCTGCTATTTTTCTCAAGTCAGTCACTTCTTTGAGTTCATCATCGTCTTCAGCCAGCAGCTGTTCTTTCTGAAGTCTGAAAAATTAAACATTAGTGACCTGACTTCAGTGAATCAAGACACAGAAATGGCTCATTGTAGGACAATAAGTAAGCAGTGCTTCCTTTAAGCTTATTTTCTGTCCAAGTAGTTGGTGTTCAATATGAGATTTCTTTCTTCCATGGGAAGGAACTTTAAAAAACCACTCTCACCCCACCACCACCAGCAAAACCTACCCAAAAAGATCAAGATTTACCTTTTTTCATCTCCCCAGTCCTCATTCTGTTCTATTTTCTGCGATTTCTCAGGATGTTTTCCCCGCTCCTTACAGAGAATGAAAAAAAAAAGTAATCCTTAGAACTGAATTAAGAAAAAATAAAATCAAGGCTGCTGAACAGTTTTTCTTTTGTCAATCTATGGTACCTTGACATAGGAGAGCAATGTGCCAATCTGTGCATCTCCCTGCTCAGGAAGAGCTCCCTCTTCTGCATTTGGATCAATGTAGTCATAGGCCTCCTGGTCTAGTGAGGATTTGTGAAGAACAGAAAAGATATTAAACAGTTCTCTCAACCAAATGTTACTCCTAAGAGAGATAAGTGCTTCAGAAAAATGCCAGATACAGATAAACAGACATTGTGTCTCCTCAAGCTGGAAATAATTTTTTCTTTCTCTCTAAGCCTGTCTATTTGTGATTATTACATTTTTCAGTGATGAAAATACAATGCCAACACCTGATCATCCAATTTTGTGCCATTTTGCTACATTAGATCACCTAAGCAAAGCATCTCTGTTACTTAAAACGACAGAGGCACAACAGGTATTACCTTTCTGTGGATCGAGTTTGCTCCCCATTACATGATTGTCATTCCTTAATGTCTGTTCCCTTGTTGATTCTGATACCTGGGAGTGAAGGCTGATTGTATCATCATCAGATGGCTGCAAAGACACTCACATTCAGTACAGAACTGACATTTAACTTGTATTATTATATGATTTACTAAGAACTCACAAATTACAGTGCAACTGCCCCTCTCACGAGGGATGGTTCCCAGGACAGAGAAAATAATATCAAGTCAGGAAGAGGTTTTTTGGGGGTAGAAGGGGGTTTAAGAGAGTCATAGTTTAGGGAGACAGAAGTTCATTATGTAATACTGAAAGACAGTATTTTGTTCAAAGAGGTCCAGTCCAGTCCCAGCCAGTGGACTCTGAAAACCATACTTAGGTACTTTCTTATCTAAAGCCTCCAACTACTTTGGCCCTTGTTACACTTGGCAGTCCAATGGTTTAAACTCAACTGTACAGACACTCAAAGAATGTTAAATGCAACTTAGCAATTTCTCAACTGATACAAAATTCAAAGGAAAGGTCTAAAACCCCAGAAATTACAAATCCAACAATACTCACTTCTGTGGTGGACAACCTTTTATCCCCATTATCACTTCCAATGCCAGAGTCTGGTCCATGATTTTTATTGGGATAAAAGTCCTCCATGCTGCAATAAAAAAAACAACACACAAAAAACCCACATAAGAATCAAAGAAACAGTTGTGTTCCTTTCCTAAAAGAAAAAGATCCTTTTCAAAACAAGCACTCTATACTCACCTACAGTTGCTGATACAGAATTTTTGCCCAAGGGGCAGTCAGTATAAAAATCCAACAAAACCTCCCTCACTTTCTAACCTCAACTAAATTTAATTAAAAATATTTGTGAAATACTGTGGGTTTTAGTTAAGTTTCCCTTAATAGGACATTTATGGGCAATTCTCCTCTTCTGTTCTGAATAAAATAGCTGAGATTTCCAATAAATAAATTTAAACTTTGGTCTACTAGACATCTTTGTTCTGATTTCTACATCTCTAGGGAGTACAAATGAAAAACTCTTCACAGCAATTCAAACAAGCCAATTAATTTTCCAGTAACAGACAATAAATACTATGACACCTCAATAAAGAACAATTAAAGTACTGAAATAATAGGTATTACCTGTAATAAACAGATCATTTAATAACAAATGCCAAAGTAAAATAAAACAAGACCCCCAGTACTCACCTGTCTGTGAGTGGCTGGGAGGGGACTCGTTTACCTAATGATGGAAGATCCAAAGAATCTGGTTTTTTGTCTATTCTGAGGCACGCCTGGATGCTGAGGAATTTAAATATATGTACTTTACCCTTTAAACATATCTGTTGGGAAACAAGTGAACAAATAAAAGTCTTCATTACACTGCATGTCTGGAAAATACACCCCAAGAAAAACTTTCTACACTGTATTTGTGCCCACAACTTCCCACTAGCAGCTGAAAACTATGAAAACTCCATTGGTGTAACTTAGAACAGCTTCCCCTAAGATGATAAAGCAAATTTCTGTACTAGAATACTTCAATACTAACCTGTGCTGGTGGTATCTGCATTGGATTGTTATCCAAAAGTATAACTTGTAAGTGACGTAACTTTCTGTAACAAATCGGAATTTCTGTAATTTTATTACACGAAAAATCCAGCTTTACCAAGGGAAGGTCCCCTAGTTCTGCACTCAGGAAAACAAACAAACAAACAAACAAAAAGGAATCAGTTATCTTCTTAACACTTTACCTAATTTACCTACATCAATGGAAAGAAGATGAGTAGCTTACCATCTGGCAGCATATGGAGATTGTTTCTTCTTATGTTCAATTCTCTAAGTGACTGCAATTTTCCTATTTGCTGGGGAAGGACCTGAAGTTCATTACAGCTAATATCCTAAGAAAGACATAATTAATACATCAAGTGAACATCTTAAATGAAATTACACAAAGGAACACTGCTATCAAAGCTATTGTAAAAGCATGCTGTTAAAAGAAAAATCCCAACTCCCCTGGTCTTTCCACAGAGAAGAACTACCATAACAGATCTTACTGTTTCTTCACTGTTTAGTGATTCATGTTTCAGGAATTCAATTCAAGAAGTCAAATCAATGAACGATGAAACACTGGTTTTAAGAGTAAGAATCACGAGTTCCTGGTGTAGTTCCCGTATCAGCTACAAACTCCTTGTGCTACTGCTGGCAAGGGACAGTTGTTCTGTTCCTGTTCTAACAGCTCTTCTTCCTTAGAAAACCTTCAACCAACCCAGACAACTAAAGATTTACACAGAGCACCAGCAGGCTCACCAACTCTTTGGGTAACAGCACTAGAGGGTGACAAAGCTGCATCAAGTGCACACAGACTACAGCCATTTCTGACAGTAATTTAACATTAATTTACGTAGACAAGAGGGATTACACAATCGCACTGCTATGGAATCTTTCTAACCTTTTTTAATTCTAAATCAATAAAATGGAATTCTGAGAATTCTGGTTTTCCTAGACAAGATAACAAAGAGACGTATCTGTCTGATGAGAACCTGGAAGCCAATTTTAAAGGCCAGCTGAGTCAGTAACTAAGCCAGGCCTTAACAGATGAATCCAGCCCCCTTCATTACACACTCCAGAGCTTCAGCTTAAGGGTTTCCCATTGCTTTTGGCCAGCACGGTGTGTGCACACAGCTGGATGCCTCAGGAAGGACAGGCTGCTTGGGATGCACCATCATGGATTCACTGTAAGTTCTTCCTTGTCCACGTCACCAGTGTTGAGATGGGATTCCCTTCAGAAAAGCACCTTCCGAGCACAAGGCTTACTTATAAGCTTTTTTAAAATATATAAAATACAATTTATGTTCTAGGCAGGTTTATCACAGTTACTCTCTCTAGTATGTCCCTACTCTGCATCATCAAGGATGCATTCTGGGCTTGACAACTTCGAAAAATAAGCCCAAAATACCCCAACTGCAATCATGAAAAACATTCACTTCCTGTAAACAAAAGCAGTGATCACACCTTGAAATGTTTTGACATTGAAGGGGGCATAGGGAATGTCTCACCAAAGAGTAAAGGACATGAGAAAAGCCTCACAAATATCCTGAGTGTCTCAGAGTAATTGTAAGTTAAAAAAGAATGTTGATTTATAGCTTAGAAATAAGATCATATTAAAAGATTCTCCAGGGAATACACAGCTACTGTGGAAACTGGATAAGGACAAGGTTTCCTTGCAATAATCACAGAAATCATACATATTAAAAAAAAATTAAAAAAAAATCAGACCCAGTGCAAGTACCAGGTCAGGAAATGACTGCTCAGTTCTCCAAAACACAGGAGCTTAACAATAAGCTATGATAAGAAAAGCCCAGAATATTAAAACAGTAACAGATGACAAAGCACAAAATCTTGGTATGCCATGGAATAAAATCATGTTGCACAGACTGTGAATATTCCTTATCATTCTATTCACCCCAAACAAAACAAAGGAGTAGCAAAAATGTGAGGGGGGGGAAAAAAAAACCCAACCCACAGAACAAACCAACAATGACTGAAGGACAGAACTTGTATCAGAGTACAGAGTAAAGAGAGGTGAACTCTTCAGCTGGAAATAATATTCCTGATAATTTATTTATTTGCTTTTTATGTTATGATTACTGTAAAGAAGGTAAACAGAAAAATTCACCATTTTTAATAACATTCAAGCGAGAGACTCAAATGAAATCACCTCAAAAGCAATTTTATTTATGAGCCCCTCCCTTAATTATACTGAAAATACACTGCCTGTAAGTTGACTTTAAGTATAAAGATTCACAATTGTACTTACCAACTCCATCAGATCTCTCAACTTCCCAATTTCCTCTGGAATGGAGACCAGCTTGTTATTACTGACAACCAGAACTTTCAGTGGAAGATCAAACAGGTATTTTGGCAACGTCGACAAAAGATTTCGACTTGAGAGAAAGAAAAAGGGACAAGCAAGGCTGGATTATAATCTAGTTTTTAAGCCTTAAGGGGAGTCTGAGACGCACATTGTACAACTCTTCTCCTATCACAGAAGACATTCTCCACCTATTATAATTTTATCTGCATTTCAGCTACAGTCTCCATCAAGAATTCCTCACCAGATACAGGCCTGTATTTCAGGCAGATATGCCAGGCTGGTTGGAGAGTAGAAGAATCAAAAATATAATGTGCAAGTGAATTTTTTTCTGAATGGATTATAAAAACGTGGCAATGAAAGTCGTTCCCTGTGCCATTTAAACAGATTTCCTCCGTTTTTTTAGGTTTGTGGTTTTTTTAGGAGCTGCCTGCTTTACTGTGAATTGCACAATACATTTCTTCCACCATCTGCATCCAAAATTAGAATTTAGGGTCATGTGGTTTGCTTCTGTAACAAAGCATCTGAACCAGGATTTTAGCCTGTCCTCCAATCCCACAGCCCACGTGTCCCTGCACTGGGGAAACAGTCCCAGGACACGAGCACAGACAGACAAAGCACAGCTGGGAAAAGGATGGTCAGGAGAGTTGATTCCTGAAAGAACATGCAAAGCTCAGTTACAGCTACACACTACACACCTTTTGTGTGTACAGAAACATTTTCAGCACCTCAAACACCACCAAAAGAGAAATGGGCTGTTGCTGAAGAAAGTTGGGCCACACCTCCTTCATAAAATACTGCAGGTTTAGATTATATAAAGCCTCTTCAGAATTGCCACAGAGTACATTACCCTCAAATTATCACTGTGAGGACTGGTATTTGCACATTTTGGGACACAGTAGGTTTCAGGGATTTAAACAGCTCTTAACTGAGAAATCTGGTTTGGACTTGATGTAGCCAACATCAGAAACAAGGAATATTGTGGAAAACAAGGTCAGGTGGGTTCTTTTAGATTCCCTCTCCTCCCAGAGCTCACATCCATCTTCTGTTCTTGTGAGAAGATCCAACCATATGTTTTCCAAGTTTAAAAAGAGCAACGCAGCAGTGAATGTAGAGAATGCTCTTGAGAGCACCAAGTTTTGACACCTGTAGTTTCTGAACACTGTCTGTCTGCATAACATCAAACCCAAACTCAATGCAAACATCAGTGACCTGATGAAGTAAAAGGTCAACTCTCCAAGGAGATAAGTTATATAGGATCAAAAATAACCATCATTACTCACCTAATGTTAAGGTAGGTGAGCATTTGCAGGTTTTTAATAGATTCTGGAATGGATTTGATGCAGTTGTGATACAAATTTAAAGTTTCCAGTGGTGCAAACAGCCAGACATCAGGAGGAATTTCAGTAAATCTGTTCTTTGAAAGATCTACAAGCAAATAAAAAAGAAAAAAATCCTTTTTTAGTCAAAATTTTCCCTGCAGTAAGAGGAGATAAAAGTACTCACTGATATTCTTGTCATGCTCCTAAAAATTAAGGTGTTGCAAGAAGTGTAAAATAATTCAGTTTTAGCAGATGCTACTGCATATAATTAATACACAAAAGAGACTTAAGATACTAAAAGATTATTGCTTAATATGCAATTACAACAGAAAAGAGAAGAATGACAGGAATTCAAAAATACATTTCCCACTCCACAGTTAGATTTACAATGACACTGAATATCAACTATGATTGTCCCTCCTCTATCAAGTCTTTGTTCTGTGCAGTTCTGGGATTTCTTCCCCTTCAACTCCAGGCACAACATTAAGTCAAGGTACAAACCCAGCCCCCGTTATTTTTCCTGTTTCACACCCACATTAGAATCCAATGCCATTGTACAATATACCTGCAATGCTAAAGCCAAGTTCCCCAGAAACTCTTACCATTTAGTTTGATTAAGAACCACAATTCTCAGCTAAAAAAAAATTCTTTATTGCAAGCACAATAACTGGGACCTTCTCCAGCTACACATTTATGACTTAGCTAAAAAGAGGATAAAGTTGAAAAAACCAATTACCTATAAAAAATAGGATGCAACTGAGCCTTGCCTAAAAGGAGAAGGAAGAGATATCTTTGACAATGGAAACATAATACTTGAGCTAGAGTTATTCTCACAATGCATGACTGCATTATGCAAATCTGCAGGCAGAGGTTAGGACAAAACAACACATTACCAATATTCACAGCACCTCTGGTTGTCCTTGAAAAGGTCCAAAAAGTACAAATGAGATGTGACCTAAGAATCCTGGACATTATCAGATTAATCAACTACATACCAAAACCTGTATCATCAGAAGTCCATCAGTCTACCTTGGAAGACATTTACTGGAGATATTTACTGAAGAATATCTGCCTACTCTTTTGAAAGTAACTCTGGTTCCCAACCCAAGATATTTCAAAAGGATGTGGTTTCTCAGAAATGCTGAACAAACTCTTTTAACAGAGAAGCCATACAGATCCTTTGCTATTTCAGGCTTTACTTCTCAGTTTTTAACACTCACATGGAATAACTGTGTGTCTGCTCAGCTCCCATCACATCATCATCTGAACAAACATAGAGTTCTGCAATAAAGTCTAGAAAGCAGCTGGAAAAGTGGCTCAAAGACACTGTCAGGCTCCAACAGAGTTCAACAGCCTGGCAAACCAGCCATGAGTAGCATCACTTCTCTAGAAGTACCTCTAAAAGCACGCTGCTGGCACTTGAGAATGGGTTTGTAAGGGTTAATAGACCGGAGGAGCAAGGCAAGCTGCTAAATGCAGAACCACAGATGATTTAAGATGACAACTCCTCTAGAAGTGAGATTATAGGAATCCTTTGCTTAACCAGTTTAGACTGGAAAACTCTCAGTGGGAGTGTTATGTGACAACTAAACAGAAGACACTACCCATGCCTGCTCTGGATCACGGGGATTTCAATGCACGATCTCTGCAGGGACAATGAAAGTGAGAAGTACCCCATTACTGAGGGTAAATTTAAAAAAGGAACTAGAAGAATATGAAGAAGTTGGTTGCAGCTGGTTTTTTTGACAGAAAAAGGTAATGTCTTTACTGATTGTAAGACAATGACTAAGAGAAAATATACTGAAAGATCAACAGGAAAGAATTTTAGGAAATCAGTCAGTCTGGAAGGGAAGTTATTAGAAATAAGAAGTTATCTTGTGTAAATTTAAGCCATGATCAAAAGGCAAAACAAAAAGCTCAAGCTGTCAGGTTACAGCAGTGAGCAGCAAGGTAGTTAAACAGTATTAACATCACATTTGCCTTGGTTTTGCACTTTTCCCTAAGCATGCAGTACTGCTTACCATCAGAAGCATGCTGATAGAACAGACTGGCCTTTTATTTAAGCCAGTACTGTCGTTTTATATTCACACTTTACATGCACTGCATGTTGAATTTGAAATACAGGGCTTAGCTGGGAAATTTACACTTGAACCTCCTCTTGATATTGTAACATTTTTCATAAAAATATGCTGCTGATCCAGGACATTGGTGTTAGGCTTTGTTTGCTCAAAGTGCTTCAAAATGTTATTTAGAAACCAGATTAAAAAACCCCCACATCTCCCACCCTGCAAAATCCAGAACTGCTCTCCTAACTTGTCACACATACACATTTTCCTAGCCAGCTTTTCTAGTAATGCTTTAGCATAAGCCGAAGAACATCTAAGCACAACTGTAACTATATAATTAGTCCTACAGAAGTCAACAGATGCATAAAAACAAATATTCAGACTTCATCCCAAAGATACACTTTCAGCCAATCTAAACATAAATCTGAGATCACCACAGAGAACATGGATAAAACTTATCAGCCTGTCAGATGGATGATGGATTCTGGACAAGAACAAACCAGTCTCAGCCAGAGACACTACAGAAACACCTGCATGGGTTAATTCCAGTTTTTGATGTGGTATTTCAGCAGAGAATATCTACATTGTCTAAGAATTAGTCTTCAGTGCCATCACTAATATTCTTTTCTATCTTCTTTTACTCTTCAAAGAATTCATGGAAATACTATACAAGTGCAAATAAAAAAAAAGAAAAAAAAAGAAGAAAATTTAAGAAAACTGTCCTTTTCAAACTGTGCTAATGCTTGAGGCTCCTTCTCCAGCTTGTTGAGAAACTAAGAAAGGCAGGAAGAGATCTGTCTCCCATTACTAAGCACAGAAATGGCTCTTAGCATGAAGAAACCAATTTCATTGCTTATGTAACAAAGCTTTCTTCAGTCAGAGGATGACATGAACTAAGGCTTTTAAGAGAATCCACAAAACCCATTTCAGGAAGACTGAAATATCACTGGAGATTCTCAGAACTCAGCTGCACAAGGCCCCAAGCAAGGTGCTCTACCTGGACCTGCTCCCATCAGGAGATTGCCCCAGATGACCTCTGAAGGTCTCTTTCCACCTGTGTAATTACAGGACATAAAACTGTAGTTTGTTTGCATTACAGGAATGTAATTATCTTATCACTGTTTGGGTAATTCAATTATCAGTTCCTGAAGAGGGTGAAGAGAAAAACTAAAGATGCATCAAAAGAGCCAAGTGTGAGTACATCCACTTCCTAAAAGGGTCTGATATTCAGCCAGCCATGAATGTTGATGGTGGCATTAATGAACCAAAACTTCCTTTGGAGCTTTCAGATAGAAAATTATGGGGGGGGGGGGAAGAACAAATGAAACCACCAACCCACAAAAATCCCTATAAAAAAATTGCATTCACCTAAATAAAACCCCAATGTAGATCCTGCATCCAGTTTACCAAAAGAAGTGAACACTGCAGTGTGTTTTTAACCTCTTGCTCCTTTGCTGTTAATTGATACAGGGGAAGACTAAAAACCCCAGCACTGAGCCAGAAACTGAAAGCTGGATTTGGTGGGAAGAAGAGAGATTATTCAAGAGACTTTTTTGCCCTCTCGGACCACAAACAAGTCCTTTGCACAAAGGAAAAATGAACCTGGTTAATTAAATAATAAATAACAGAATTCTTCATATTTACTTCTGTTGCAAAACAAACAATTAAAATACGTGTAGAATGATTGTCCATACTGACATAAACAACAACCACTTCAGCTGCAAAACATTTAGAACTTACTGCCAGAGAACTTTCAGGAATTACAGCAACATAATTTCTGCCTGTAACTACCTATTTCCCATACAAATCAACGTTTGCTGTCCAACATTAAGAGCTAAGGATTACACAGAACAAACCGAGCACCCACCAGCTCTTATGCACAATGAGGAAACTGATACACCTGCCAAAAAACCTCTCAGGAAACTAAGCTGACCACAGATTGTCACAAGGAAAGCTACACGCAGTTAAAGTCTACTCTTAAAATCTCATGTAGCAATATTTAACTTGATTTTTCTCTGCTGGGCTCTTAAGTCAAACAGAAGCATGGGCTGTCTTCTGTCTGAAAGAAAGAAAAACACTCCCAAGACCAGAGGTGGCTAAAAGCAGCTTTTTCCTTTTTTTCAACTGGGTGTTTGACAGCAGGGAATAGCTTCTGGTTTTGTGCAAAGGTATTACAAAGAAAAATCAAAGTGGCATTTGGGTTTTAAATCCAGCAACTGAAGAGCTTGGAAATACCTGCTTTGTGGTTATCCACATCCCTAAGTTTAGTTACAGACTTGGTCTGAGCAGTTAAAATGACAAATGAAGAAACTGTGTAATTAAAGCTTCTCATCAAGCACAGGGGGAGGTTGTACAGGCAACCAGAAACTCTCTTTGACAGATCCTGAGTTCTTGGCTTTTCAAGCTAAACAGCACTTCTGAAGAAAAAAAAATCCTTTTTAAAATTACACTTCTATTACTTTAGAGACTTCAACAACAACAAGCCCTAAATTTTAACAATGCAATTTTACCAAAATGTAATTTTTCTAAGACCTGGACATCAGTTAGAGCTTGCCTGTTGGCTGCCATCTCCTTCTTGTTGATTAGGCTTGAAAGCAGACAAAGATCAAACCTCAAAGAGCATCCTTTATTAAGTAAATTTCACATATTCCACATTTTGCAACACCAGGATGGAAACAATGGATGGACGGATAGATTCAGGGAATTCTTCACCACGTTGCAACATCAGAAAGATCCAGGCATTTCCAACACAAGATAGGACATTGCTATAACACTGCACTGAGTTCAGCTGGTTTAGCACAGCATGATCAAAATGGCAAATAAAGAACACAACACCAGGATCGCTCCTCAGACTGGTGTAAATTCGCATATCCTGTCAAAAGGGTATTACATCATGTCAAGGATTATCTTCCTCTCCACTGTTGAAGGTGTCTTGTCTCCACAAATCTTTTGGAGTCTGAAGTGGTAAGCAGAAAATCCCACAGGAAGTTTTTTTTTTTTGTTTTGGCACCATAGTATTTAGTCCAGATTATAACTGTTA